TTTCCCTACTGACTCCAACAGGCCCAGGATGCCACTTGATGTCCTTTTTTGGATCATTTCCCTGGTGTGAGTTCAATTTGCAGGGACCACTGAAGCTAGAGGGTAGCAGCACGTGCAGAAAGGATCTGAACTGCATGCAGCAGAGTGCAGAGTTGGGGGGCTGCAAGCTGCATTGCTGGGGGGAGATCTGGGATGAATAAAAGTCAAAATCTTATGCAAGGGAGGCAATAAATAGCAGGGATTGTAAAGATCAGGCTGTGCCTAGAGATCTGTTGAGAGATGGACATCCCCAGCAGACCCCAGGGCACTCAAGATGATTAGTAAGCCCTGGAGATCTTTGCACAAACAGTGCCCCTGCCCTCCAGAGATTGCAAAGGTGTCACCACCAAAGGAACGATATGATCCATCCACAGTCCTAGGAAACCCAGAAACACTGGAGCAGAGTGATCAGGATCACACCCACTAGCACCAGTTGCTGGAAACCCTCCTTGCTTCAGCCCCTGGGGCTGCTCTCAAGTACCTCTGACCCCAGAAGAATTTTTGTCAAGTAACCCCAGTAAGAATTACCTAGTCTCAAGTCCCACTGCAGAAATGCCCCTGCTGCGCTGCAGCTGCTTCTGTTTTCCCACAGTGTCATCTTTGGAAGAGATGCCCCTTGCACCCCAACTCCCCCATCAACAGGACGCAGGCGGCACCCGCTGAACCCCAGCAAAGAACATGACACTAGCTCCTGCAGTCTTCCCCTTCCCTTCCCTGCCATCTTCCTCAGACTGTGCAGCTCTTTCATGCACCGTGCTTCCAACACCTGCTTCATCACGGAAGATTTAGAAGCTAGCTCAGAGTTAAAAACACTGAAGGGATGTGCTACCAAGTGAACCAGCCACCTGGGAAGATGGACAGCAAATATCAATATCTCAGGCTTCTTCCCCCTCTCTCTGTTCTCCTCCAAGCACTTTTCTAATCTTTGTTCCCCTTTCCCTTTGACAGAGTTCATTTTCATCCTGTGTTTTAAGCTGGGGAGAGGGCTGCATATTTCACGGCGAGAGACAGAATCAGATACTCGTGCAATCTATTTGGCTGGCTTGTCATCAGATCTGTTTTTCCACCCGGCAACATTAATCAGATATTTGGCTCAGCTGATTCTGCAGAACAGAGACATTAGCAGCTTTGCCTCTCCCAGACCTAATCGAGGGGCTAGAAACAAACCTCCAAATCTTTGAGACCTAATTAAGAACTGAACTAAACAGAAAAGCTCTCTGGGAAGGAAAGGGATTGGCAGGCTCTATGGTGATTTTGCTGTTGAGAGTGTTTTAAGTAAATGTACTCTGCAAGGTAAAAAGGGAGCACTTAATAAACTCAGCAATTTGGACTTTAGAACACGCAGGTCCTAAGATCTCTTCAGTAAGAGGAATTATTTCATGACAAAAGCTTTTACTGGGAAGTGATACATTTCCTTTTAAACATAAAGCCAGGCACCCAAATGCTGCACTGTTGTATAAATGCAGCCAAAAGGGCCTCTGGCTAATTTAGTTTCATTCTCCTCTCTGAAGGGAGTGGAAGGGAGTGGCAGTATGATCTAAGGGGCAAAGCACTGGACGGGGACCCCAGCTCTACTCTTGACCCTAGCATGGACTCATTGTGTGATCTCAAACAAGTTATTTCCCTCACAGCTCTCTGTTCACCTTGTCTGTTTAGTTGGTACATTCTTCAAGGACTGTCCCCGACTCCGAGTATATACAACACGTGGTGCAAGGGGGCCCTGATCTCAGCTGGATCTCTTGGAACTACGTGAAATACAATATGCCAAGCCTGCAGTCATCCGCCAGCATTAAGTCAGGCTTTTAAAATAACATTGGCTTTCACAATCTTAGGTGCTTTCAAAGATCAAAGAGTGCTCAATACATTTAAAACCAAAGCAACCTGAAGTTCCTGTCCTCCAGTTAATGGAACCGCTGGTTCAATCAGGGGCCAAGCTGCTGCCCCAGGGGCTGAGATGAAAGAAGGAGGTCCACCACCATTTCTAATCCACGGGAACATCTCTAATCCACAGCCCAAGGTGACTGGTTAGCTATGGTTTAACAAAGGTTCAGCGTGCCTCTAGAACCTCAGCTTTATTAGTGCAGAGTTTTTACCTTGATAGTGGCTCAAACATGAATCAAGCAGCGAATGTCAAAAGGAAGAAGCTGGTCCTGGGCAGAACATCTCTTATATTGGTGACAGTGCCCCATGCACAGACTCCACTCAAATGGACCATTTCATGACAGTTTGCTGAATCTAAGGTACTTGTTCTGATCCTGCACTATCTCACAATCTTGAGGGTACTTTTCCTCCCCACTGTGCCATGAGGTGAGTGAATGTGACTGTCCCCCAGGTTAGAGCCAGGAAGCTGACATACAGAGAGAATAAGTGCCTCACCTAAGGTCACCCCAAAGCCTCTGGCAGAGCAGATGCCCCAAATCCCAGGCTGCACCATCCTTCCTCTAGAAGCCAAGTTTCCATCCTGCCCCGAGGCTGAGCAAGGGACTCCTCAACAGCATGGAGAGTTATATAGCGTATGACCTGCAAGTACCAAGCTCAGCCAGAGTGGTTGCTCAGACAGCTGACAGCAAAGCAAGAGGCCCAAGGTCAGAAACATGAAAATAAAACCTCAAGGGCTTGGCTCTGGCTTAGAAGGTGCCAGTGAAGTGAACACACAGGCACTGCTCAGAGAGGACACAGGTGCACCTCGGGAGACAGGCCCCGAGAATCTGAGCCAACCTGTTTCTAAGATAGACATTTCTGAGATTTCCTTCCAGGATGACATGCGAGCCACTTTCAGAGAGGAGAAGCTCAGGCTCTGTGAATGGTGCAGGCCTTGGCCTCTCAGCCAAGTTTACCCAAGGACAGTGATGGCGCGACTCTTGGACATGGAGACCCAAATGCATTTCATGACTCGGAGCCAAGCTTCTCATCACACTCTTCCCCCAGAGCCCTCCCAGCCCTGCACTCACCCTGCAAGTTTGTGACTTCATTCTCCTTCTCGCGCTGCAGCTGAGAGTATTTCTGGTTGTGGGTCTCCAGCGTCTTGCGATGCTCCAGTTTCAAGCTGTTGTGTTGCAGCTGCAAGTCAAGCAGCTGCTTTTTGACATCTTCATGTTGGTTCTGGGGAGGGGAAGAAACACAAAAGGTGTGGGTGCCACAGTAAGAAGGCTGGGGAAACAGGACCCACGGGGGGCTTCTTCTCCAAGCACTGGGAGCACACAGATTTCCAGTTCCACCTCCAAAACACCTCTCCAACACACAGAACCCACTCAGCTTCACCCCGACACCCCCAAACCCTCTCTGGCACACACACAATGTACACAGTCAAGTTAAAAGACAATAGTCAGTTTAGCTTTTGCAATTTTTTTTTCTCTCTCTCCAATTAGAAACATGCTCGAATGGTTTATGGAGCAAACACATTGGGTGTTTGCAGTAGGTGCCCTGGAAGCTAAAAGGCCACAAGCCTCATTACTACCAGACTATTCCCCAGTTTCCTCTTCCTAAATCACCCAGATTTCTTTATTTTAGAGGAAATGTCCCAGTGCTGAAAGGTACTGGCAAGTCAAGAAACCATGAACTCTGTGCTCTGTCCACAGACATTGCTCCTTAGGTGACCTGAACAGGGTAGAGGGTTTAGTCAATGGTAAGTCTCCTTCTCCTTTCACTCAGTCCACCCATAGGGAAGGGTCATGCATCCTAACCAGTGGGTAGTATAGCATGGGGTGATGGATTCCCATATGGGAACGGGTGTATGTGTGGGGTCGAATGCAGGATTTTGACTCAGGTCTGTTACTAAAAGAGCAGCCAGATCTGAAATTGCCCCTGTGGCCCTTTACACTGAGAAGCCTCCATGCGACTCTACCACAGCAGGCTGTTTGCCATAGGTCCCAGAGAAGACGTTCAGAATGAGGAGTGAGCTGCTTGGAAGGGCTCCCTCGCCTCACCTGCCCAGTGACGGAGAGTGGAAGATTCCTCTTGAAGTAGGTTCCTGCCATTAGGTAACAAAAAATCCCATTTAAGTCACCAAAAGTTTGATTTACCTGGGTTCAGGGGCATAGAGAGGCCAAGGAAGAAAACTCCTCTACTTTGTGAAACAGTAAAGGGAATATTTCACTGGAAAGACCTCTCCGCAGAAGCCACCAAAGCAAGAGCAGCATCCAGGCCAACTTGGCTAATGAATGGGAGGACGTGCCAGTGCCTGGCTGGGTCCCAAGGACTCCAGCTGACTAAGAGATTCAGCTCATGCTTTTTAGAGATGCTCCTTGGCCCAAGCAAGGTGCTGCTGCATTGCATTTTGCCTTATTTGCTCTGGCGCACGGTTCTGGACTTCACTCAATATTCCAGCTCTGGGGAAATAGTAGCACAGGCCATAGCTGTTCCCCTTGTCAAGCAAGACAGATGCAGTACTGTGCATGAATCCAGATACCCTGTCTGAGCCCCTGCCTTGCTGCAGGATGAACATCCATGGAAAAACAGAGCAGGTTTCTATGGGGTGAGTAGCATGTACCTGCTAATCCTCGTCTCATCGGTACTTTTCCATTAAATACAAGGAAATCCCTCCCCCCCTTCCCCCCCTGCCATTTTATGTCCAGACCCATCACGGAGGACATGCACAATGAGCTCCTACTTGGAGACTTCCCTTTGGTTCTCCTATTTAGGCTTGTCCCTAGAAAGCCGTGCTGTCCATCCTTTCACCCACCCACCTTGCAGAGATCCCAAATCCACTACCACAGCCTGCTCAGAGCAGAGCGAGCCCCCCGTTTCCTGCATTAGCTCAACTTCCAGGACACATGCAGAGCCAGCAGCCTGCATGGCCGCTCTGCTCCAGACACAGCACCCTGGGAGGGAAGGACCCTATCCTGGGGACATGTGGCCTGTGTCCTGAGATGGGCTTGTTTTTTAAAGTAGAAGGGTGAAATAATTTAAGAACAGACTCCCTGTCCCTCTCCTTGCTCCACGCTGGAGAACAAAACGCAGCAAGACTTCCTTTTGCTCAAACCCACTGAACCAGAATTCACCTCCTTTTGGGTTCCCATAGTAACCCCTGGGCTCCTTCCACACTTGGCTTGTCAGCACCAATTACATACACAGAGCGACTGACTCACAGGTGAACTCCAGGCCCTTCTGAACATCTTCCAGGACGAGGGCAACAATCCCCACTTATTTCCCTTCCATTTACATGCATTGATCTTTAGAGGCGACCAATGCGTGTATTTTCCCCGTGTGGCTGCATAAGACATTTTCACATGTTCGTAGGGGGCATTTAGACCCAGGAAGACTTCCCTTTCCTCACACTGAACAATCCTACCCAGAGCAATGAGAGTACACACAAATGAAGGGGAAATAATGGGTTAAACAGAAGGCGGCGGAAGAGAGGTAAGATGCCAAGTTAGGTAAGAGCCAAGATCAAGTGGAAAAGCAAAGAGAATGCGAGAGGCTTGAAGCCTCCTGTTCAGAGGAGTTCAAAGCCCCCAGTGATTTCAATCGGAGCTGGTGGACTCATCAGCACATCAGAGAAATAAGCCCCTTAAACCCCTGGAGCTCATTCAATCATGTCCCACAGGGAACAGAACTGCCTCCTGTGCAGATCTGGATGGTGACATTACCTAGAGGCCTCATTTGGTCTCAGGACTGTTGCTAGAAGACCACGTGTGCCCCAACGTGCTTATGGGCAGTCAGGTCAGTGGGAAAAGGGAGCGGCTGGATGGGGAACTGTGCACAAAGCCTCACCGCAGCTGCAAGGAGTCTGCAGCACAGCAGGGACGTGTGCCCAGATTTCTGAAGTCCCAGGAGAGCTCTGTAAGCGCAGGAGCCTCCTTCCTCCCAGCCAGTCTGGAATCAAAACTGGGACGGAGCCAAGTCCTGCTATGGATCCTGAGTGAGCAAGCACGGGAATGGGTCAGAGATCAGTCACAGTCTTTGGAAAAAAACCATTCTAGCTAGAGCAGGTTCAGTAGCTTGAAACGTCTGCTCCTTCAGAACCGGGAAGCGTCAGGCACAAATAGAGAAAGTGAGGCAGCGGGATTAAATGACAGGCCCAAGACCTCAGGCAGTCGACAATGAGAAGAGAAGAGAACCCGTCACAAGCTGTAGTCACACAGTGCCGCGTATCAAGCCAGAGGTCTGCAACGTCCTGCCTGCGATTCGTTCTAGAGGATATCATCCGGGGCAGAACTAATCTCAAGCCACGGGGGACAACCTGGATGTGGGTCATTCACCAGCCCTGGCAGGGCTGCATCCCTCCTGGCTTCTGGTGCACTGTGGTAGCAACTACATTGCACCAGTGCAGCATGCTCCGATTAGCAGAAAAACCAGAAGTTGAGCTAGAAAGGAGCCAGTGGCAAGTGGGGTCCAGGGACCAAGAACCAGAAGACTCCCTCGGAACAGATTAACCACGCTCCTAATTTTGGAGTCAAAGCCACTACATTCCTACCAAGAACAGTTAAAATTTCGGGAATGGGTCTAAAACCCTGTGTTGCCAAAGGGTAATTGCTGCCATCTTGGAAGTGGGCAGGGAACGCCACATCCCAAGCACAAGTTTCAATTATTGCAGCTCAAATCTTGTAGCTGGAAGACAGAACAGGCTCCTGCCAGCTCTGGAATGGGCCAGCTGGGAGATGTACAGACACTGAGCAGGGAACAGAAAAGCAGGGAAACTTGAGAGAGAAGCAGATCCACATTAGTGATAATTAATTAGCAGTTTTCGTTGCAATTCTTCTCCAATACAATTCACTACAGATTGTTTTTTAAAAACAAAACAAAACAAAAAAACCCCACCGGCGCCTCCTGTTTAATGCAATTTCAGCCCAACAGAGCTTTAGATCACTTCTTTACATTAAAGGAATTGATTGCCATCATATCAAATGAAATTTCTCCATTATTTTTCATTGCATTTAATTTAAAAAGAAAACAAATGAAGAGATGCCGCCTGGATTATGTCAAGCTGACTGGCTCAGGGCTGTGTGTGGTGGGAGGATTAGTATTCAGCTGGAGGGTTGCAGGGCAGGGTATTTTTTGCCCAGTTCTTAGGTGGCAGGAGAAAGACTCCAATCTTAGGGATAAGACAGGACCACCATGATTGTCTGCCAGTCTGGATCCCTGACTTAGGGATCCAGATTCACCCTTTTCTTCCTCCTCCACATTTCATGGCTTTCTTGCATGTTCACTCTCTATCTGTGTCAATACAAGGACCACTTCACTTGGACGTATGGATCAATTCAGTAGAGTCTGTGAGGTACAATAGCAGTGGAAGCCACATAAGTATTTAAGACAGAGATGAAACTGTGCTAACGTACCACCCCACGGCCCCCAAAATAAGCTCAGGAATCTGGAGGTGAGCTAGACCATGCAGTCCTTGAGAGGCTGAGACTCGCTGGTCCATGCCACGTGGAATCCAGGCCAGCAAGCCATCTCTTCCTGCACACTCTTACCTCTGCCAGTGGCATGCAATGCTCAGGACCCATTTGCCAGGCTGCAATTTTAATTCTGCAAAGTGTCTGGGGAGCTGAAGGGCAGTGTCATCCCTCCTTAGGGTTTCTGAATAGCTTGGAAGTTGAACAAAGCAAAGCAAAGAGGTAAATATAGGCTCTTTGCCACAAGCAGCAAGAGATCAGAGCTCACTGATAGCCCCCCGATGCTGGCAAAGAAGGAGGTCCTCTTCTACGAATAGCACTCCCTCACAGCCAGTTTGTGATCTTCTTGGACTGTGGATGAGGACTGCATTCTGCAGGGGGAAGCTAACCAATATAGTCAATCTCTGCTCGACAAGATGGAAATCAGAAGATGAAGTCTGGTGACAGCA